AATCCCTATGAAAGGCATCTCCAAACAGACTTCAGATTTACTTCTTTTTTTTTTTTTAAATATCTTATTTATTCATAAAAATACAGGGGGGTTCATGCGCCATGCGTGAAATTCGGCCTGTTTTGCCCGAAACCGAAAGTTCTCGATTAAATCAGTCGAATTATGCTAAATAATGTACTTGGCTGCTCCAGTGAAATTATAAATTTCTTTTTCACTTATATACGTGCATCTAATATGTTCATAACAATTTTAACCGATTTTTATTGCAATTTGTAGTTCATATTATATTCTCAATCATATTATATTACATTAAAAATCGTCAATGTTAATGTCACAGTGGAATTCGAATATATATAATAAATGCAGTAACAAACGTATCGACTGACTTTCGTTGTTGATATGCACGAGATTTTTTCATACAGCAAAGGAGCCGACAGAGATATTGAATTTAGAAAAAAAAATCACCTCGAAGTTGATTGGTGTTATAATTAATTCATCTAATTTCGTCGAGTAACAGGATTTTATCAATATCGAGATCTGTGATCTTCGTCAGTCTTTTAATTACTCGCGTATCGCGTATCTATGATTAAATCTACATATACAAAACGTTGCGGGATGCAAAACATTGTCCGTTCTGAAAAGGCAGACTTTATCTATGGATATTTTGTCTACGGAAAGCAGAGTCGAAACGTTATATCAATTTCCGCGAAAATAACGCATAATTGACTTTTATCAACGTGCTTCTCGCTGTTATAAAAAAAAAAATTGCAGCGAGACGCACGGCAGGAAATCTATCACGTAATGGACGTCGACATCGCGAAGGCCGATACTCGATTTCCGGCAGAACGGCGATTCACGCGATGGCGCCGAAATCTCAGTTACAAAAGGAATATAATCGAAGATAAACGAGATAATAAAAACGTACTTCTTCCTAAACGTAGGTAGAAATATGGTAACTTTGTACTCACTCATTGAAAAGTATCTCTCTCTCTCTCTCTCTCTCTCTCTCTCTCTCTCTCTCATTCTCACTTTCTCTAGCCAATCCTTCGTGCTTCCCTTTTCAAATGTCGTTTCTGGGTTAAACGTTTGTATTTCTTCTCGTGCTTTTCTTTCGATAAATCGCAGCAAGGGGCGCCGATTTTTTTCATCTCAATCAAGAGCAAACGAAGATATGTGCGCAACAAGTATTTTTTTCTATATAGAAAATGAGTAGAAAATTAAGAAATGCGAAGAAAATTACACAAAGAAATACATAACAATTGAATAAAATTAAATTTACGCTAGTTGTTAGAACATAGAGCACCGGCAAATTAATTAAATGCAACAAGGCACTAAGATCGTGTACAAGGATTGACGTGATCTATATTAACAAACAAGGATAGATTTGATAGCGATTCTACGATGACGGAACATCAGTTATGAAATAAATTGCTCAATGTTAATTTCGATTAGATCAAAATCTTTACGACTATAATATCCATTTCTATCAATATAGATTAATCTTGGTTTAAATTACTTTTTATCTTTTTTAATCCTAAATATCAGACAAAGATAAAGAATAGATTAAATCAAGAAAAGTTAACTTACATTGACAGAAATGGATCTAAGAGTTGCTTTAATCAAAAATGTTGAAAGATACGAGATTTAAATCAATATTTTTCAAAGGTTTATTAAACCGTCCAAAGATTTTTCGTTCAGATGGATTTGAAAGAATTATGTTTTTGTGCAGACATACACACTTTTAGCGTCGAATAACTCATATATATTCATCGAGGAAATGTTCGCTGTTGTGTTTAAAATGCGCGTGCTTAATTCGTACTCTATATTGCCGGTAAATGCAAAATAGAGATGGACCGAATGATACGAGAAAAATTTTTGTGCACACATTTTCGTTTGCTTCCCCGTAATCACAGGAGCATTACGGCGGCGCCGCTTGCGGCTGTCGTAAGTCGCACAAGTATTCAACACGGAATTATACAAAGACAGGACTAGTACTTTCAACATAGTTATATTATTAAATCTTTCGTACAATATGTACACAAAGTTGAACCCATAAACGAGAGGCGCGCACTGGTTTTTTTTCGCGTTTTTTTTTCTTTTTTTTTCTTTTTCGTTAGATTTCTTTCTTTTTTTCTTTCTTTCTTTTGCTCGATAGACTCTCACTCGCACTTAAATATTAAAAGGTTGGGCATGATAATACTCTTTGTAGTATAATGCCCTAAGTCTTGCTGATCCAACACTTTAGCTCTCCCGTAAGCAGTTGCTGTACTCCCAGACATCGATGTGTTGCACAATGTGTTGTTTTTTTTTTTAATAAAATATATATCTCCTGACAGATATCGCTCCTGTTGTCTTTTGAACTTTTATTTAATTTAATTAAAAAAAAATATTTTTCCTATCGCACGATTTTATTAAATTTATAATCTTTTCTTAATTGCATTATTTAATCTTAATTAAATACAAAAGCTATTCCACAATAATTAATAACTTAATATTTTATACATATTTTTCTTTATGTATTTACAATGAAATTCGTTTGAAATAAATATTAAATTTATCTTTATTCTAAAAATTTAAATTTTAAAAATTATTTGAAATTCGGAGAATAAATTCGTTTTATTTCTTTTGTCTTCTTCGCGTAATATTTTCGATCGCTAAAATTCTTGAATAATAAAATTAATTATCAAAAAGAACAAATAAAATATTTAAAAAAAAATAAATCCTGCATGACTTAAAGAATCCACGAACGAAAAGAGCAGCGCCAATCCATGGAAATTCTATAAAAAAATATATATATATATATATATATATATATATAATCTACAAGAGATGAAACTTGGTCTTTGAAACTTTCGAAAATTCTATTTTCTCTCTCCCAAGGATGACACTCTGTCATTCATATATACGCTAACAATAAATAATACGTCATGAACAATTTTTTGGCAGGAAGTACGACGATTTTACGAGCTAACGATAACATTAGACAATAAGAACCGAGGAAATGATGGAAAAGCAAACGAATGACAGAGCGTATTGTTTTTATGTATAATTTCAAATTCATATTGCACAATACTGGCTCGACCGCAAGTATGCCGTTAAAAAAAAAAAATATTAAGTTCATTCTGTACTTTGTTGATGATACGTATTGTTATCTTGAAATTATAAAAAAATATCGCTAATGATAATCGTAATAGCAATCTTGCATTATTTAATATATTCCGAATAATCGAAAAATGTTGTGTCGCATTAATTTGTCATTATTAATATTCTGCGCAATGTTTTTTTGATAATGAAGATACCGTTAATAATCTATACGATAGAAATGTCCAAATATATCACAGGAATATTATAAAGATATTATGGTATCTTTAGAACACTTCTGCGAAGATTTCTGTTGTATGAAAAAGTACAGAATATCCTTATAATAATCTTTTCAATTGCATTTTTTACATATTTTATATATATAATTTTTCTATCTTTTTGTTTTCTTCTCCTTTCTCCAAAATTTGAATGCACACGCATTTCTTTAAAAGTGCAAAAAATAAATATAGCTAAAAAAGCTAGATCTCCTACTTTTTTCCATTGCTATGAGATTGGAAATCTGTGCGGATTCATTTTTTGAAAGAAGATGAAGTATCAGCCGGAACGGCAGTGCTCATCCCATAATGCCCGATTTTTTTATCCGGATGAAGTTAACCGACATAGCAAACGAATCGGCCATAAGCGAGACATGTTTTTCTGTCTGATTAATTTTTTTTCTAATTTCCTTATCACGCGACCTCGTCGACTGTATGAATGAACATAGAAACGAGCGTACGATGATGTCTGGGGAATACAGAAACTGTTACACCTAACGTTCCTTAACGTCAAATAATATACAACGTTTACTGTATGAAGTATCCCATCGTTTAGTTAAGTCTTATAGTATGGACAAGTATCTCCCTAGGCGAGTAGGCCCAAGGTCTGTGTTGTAGTTTGTGTAGATTTCTGGAACGTTCGGTTCGTGACCACGGGTTCAATTAGAAGATTGGGAAGAGATAGAAAAATAATAAAATAATTTCAACTGTCACGTTTAATATCCATTAACAAAAATGATCGAAACTTACTTATTCAGTCGAGGCGATTGACATAGCTACTGTACATTAATTCAGAAAAAAATAAATTTGTAATGATTATTATAAACTTATTTCGATTACTTATTTTATAATCTTCTGATCGATAAGTCAATTACATGCAGTTTTTCAAGTGATTATAAAAAAACGTTTCAAAATATTTAAATTGTTAGCAGTAAAAGTTTCTTCGATTTCTTCATTAACCATTTATAACTGTACTTCAATTATGCAATAATTATTATTGTTTTTTCTAGATTACAGTTTTAAAATAAGTCAAAAATACAATTAAAATTAAATTGATTAATCCGAGAAATTGATTTTAAGGAATAATTCTATGCACAATTTGGTTGAGACTGCAAAAAAATCAAGAAGAAAATGCATTTGCATGCGTTCTTGGAGAACATATGTAAAATCCATTTTCCAGTCTCCAGATTGTCCTCGTGGCCACGAGCTTATCAGGCGATTAGCGCATGTTTACGATATCTTCTATGGAGAGGCAAGATGAAACAATCACGTCGGCAGAACGTGCGCAGAATAATGCGTTACATGCGTATACAAGGAGCAATATCTTTCAAGACACGGATGATTTTTCGATTGGCGTGTCAACTACCGGTTTCTTTACCCTTTTTGCAATTTTGCAACGCGTCCTCGCAAGTAATTGAGCTAGGAGCGTTCAGTATCCCAGTTTCGCGAGGTTGATTATCACAATCCATGGTGGATACGTATATGCACATTCGCGTATAGATATATGTATATATATATATATATATATATATATATATATATATATGTATATTATTCGTATTTAGTAAAAAAGAGAAGAAAACATTTTTGGTAAGGGACGATTTTTTTGGTGTAATCTTTTATAGTTGCTTGAGTACTCCGAACGAAATATCGCGAAGCTCGCGATACTGGGATACGAGTACAGCGTTTCGTTTCTTCGTATATACACGTTCCGCTTATTTCTTTCTTTTTTTCGTCGTAATACTATGAAAATATCGCTTCAGCGAGGAATAACATGAGAGAGCTTACCGCTCTTCGTACTTTAGTCGCGATTATCGAAGAAACAAACGACACGCGTACTGCGGACGATTCGATTCTCCATTTCTTATTTCAACATTGCGTATATATTTATGACAACCTAATAAAAATGCAAAAAAAATGTCTTATAAAAATGTTCCACGTTCTTAAAAAATAAAATAGAAAATTTGGCAAATATAAAAACAATATAAAATCTCTTATAAAAAAATCAAAACAATGTAGAAATTTATCTTATAATATCTTTTACAATACAAAAAATTTATGTTTCCTTTGCAAAAATATCACAAATATTGTGTATAATATATGTTTACAATATTTTCAATATTAATTCTGCTTATTAATTCATAAGGCCATTATTCCGTATGCTAGAATTTTTGTACATAATAATAAAAGAAATTACTAAGTAAAACCGACTAGAATTCAATCATCAAATAATTGAAAACCTCCATTTATACAATAAACATATAATAGTTAAAAAAATAGAGAATCGACTTTATAAACATTTCTATTAACATAATTAATAATTCTTATATTTTCTCTTCTTAAAAAATTATAATTTCATTTATTATTCATTATAATGACGAAACTTTTTCGTTAATTTATGGATTTTGTTCTCACGACTCTTAATTAAAAGTCCCAGTCGTCTTTCTGAAAACTATGTTACAACTGGTACATTAATGTAAGTAGAAAGTTCAAAAAAAGCAAACCTTCAAGAAAAGTCACGAATGGAAATTCGATGATCGTCCGAAGAACGCGCGACGCGAACGAGAAATCCTAGGACTGATGATGCATATGTTTGCGCGGTAAAAGTCGCATCGAAGGCATAAATGAATGAACCATTATTATAATAGAGTAAGAGTCTTTTGCGTTGCGCGTTTGAACCGTTACTTGTGGAGTGTTGAATGACGACAACAACGACGACGACGACGACGACGACGACAACGACGATGATGACGACGATAATCATGATGACGACGAAAACGATGATGACGAAGACTCGATGTTGACTGTCATAAGATACGCGTACGTAGCAAATACTAACATCCGAATGTATATGGTGATAAATATATACGGACGTGAGACACCGAAGTTCTTACGTACAATTTTGTTTCTTTATGGCTCTTCTTCTCGCGGTTACGTTATCTGGACATCGATCAGTGAACCCCAGTCACTTTCTGCTCTTTATTCTCAAATTTCACATGGATCTCCTTGTGCCGATTCGGCGGATTCGAGGTGAAAGTTTGCACTCTTCCTCTCTTCACTCTTCTCAGTTGGTAAGATTACGTGATCGATATCCTGAAGACTCGTAACGGACTCCCGTCGATTATGTGTGGGTACGAGTAATAGTGCGAGAGAAGAGAGTTAGTAACTACGGTAGTATCACACTCTTTACGTACGTCTTAACGTTTTGCACATGATGAATGTGGCGAACGATAATTGCGAGGAAAAGATCACATCGATCACGTCGCGACGAGGTTTGCGGCAGATATTTAGAAGATATATGCGTATTTATATCTACGCGCGCAGGGACGAGGCAGGTGTGTGTATGTGTACGTGTGTGAACGCGTATTAATAAAATTTGATCGTGATGAATCCATGATTTCGTGTCGAAAACTGGGATGACAAGAAATCCGTCGTCGATCATCGGTCGATTGATCGATTTGGACTATTGATCCTTCAGTCAGTCGTTTCGTAGTGTCTGCTGCTGTTCTACATGCTTTTTTTTCTCTTTTTCTTTTTCCTTAGCTTCGAGAGCGGTAGTAATAGAAAGTGGCGGTAATAGTAGCAGTAGTAGTAGTAGTAGTAGTAGTAATAATAGTAGTAGGTGGCCTACGGTGAGCGGTACGTAACGAGAGTCTTATTTTATCGATCGGATTATGCAATGTGAACACACAATGACGTAGTTGCGCGGTACGTGTTTGCGTACAGAAATATATTATTATAGTCTTTTAGTTTCGATAAAAAAGTTCAGTTCCCACCTCGATTGATTGCCCATCTTCGAGGTGGCGCGCTTTCTTTCTCTCTCTCCCTTTCTCTCCCTCTCGCTTTCTCTCTCTCTCTTTCGCTCCTCTAATTTTTATATATGTATATATATATTATATATATGCTCTTTCTTTAATATTTTATTTAAAATCGTTCTTTTCTTTCTTTTTTTTCTATCCTCTTTCTGGTTACTTTCTATCATCCACTCGTGTTTTTTCGTTCCTTTTCACTCGAACGATTTCTTCTTCTTCTCCATCTTCCTTTGTTTGTACAACGCAACGAACACACACATTTATATTATTTATATTATTTATATATATATATATATATGTGTATATACATATATATGTATATACATATATTTGCATGTATATATTGATATGTATATACATATATACTTTTATGTATTTATTATACATACGCAAACAAAGCCTTTCCCCATTCGGCTTGAGTCGTCTCTCTTTCTCTCTCACATTGGGCTTTTTTTTCTTTCTGTCTCTCTCTGTTAATTTGTTGCTTGTCCACTTGTTCGGTTTTTTTACTTTTTTTTCTGTGTATATATTTATAACGTATGTATAGTATGTATATAGGTATTCAGCTTCGTTTATCGTCACTTTGTTTATTTACTATCTTTGAATTGCTGAGTTTAATAGGAAAGGAACGTAGAACATTTTACTCTCGAGTAGTAAAGCCGCCGCCGATTGTACCTGTAATTCAACAAGCAGATGGATTCTTTATTTAAATGAAGTCATTTTGTGATAATTGTATTCTACATGGAACGAAAACAATTCGAATCAAAAGCGCTATTACTAGATCGTTGAATAATAAGTGTTTTTTTTTAAGCCGGATTCAGATTAAATGAGCAAACATGAACAAACGCAAATAAATAATTTATACAAGTGATTTCTTCACATTACACCACAGTTTGTTAACTGTTTGTTAGCTTTTTGGATTCGGCTTCAGATTTGATTAAACATTTGATAATTTGAGTTACATATTTATCAAAAATATTTTGATTTATCGATATTTTAATCGATTTTTTTTTAGCATTCAGTACATATTTATTTTTTTGGACTTACTTCGGGCAACCTGACAAGAAGATCGTGAAATCGACTCGGCTGCTGAGGCGCGCTGTGCTCGACAAAACTTCGCAGACAGCTCATATATCGTTCTTGTATCTGTTCTAATTCCAATGTACTTCCTCGTGCTAAGAAAGACAAGCGAGATCAATTGAGATGTGTGCGAAGATTTTGATATATTTCAGAAAATCGGGGCGTCGTATCTTTACAATTGTAACTAATGGGAAATTCTCTACAAATCCGGATTTACTTTTTAATTTTCTTTTTCTTTACAATTTCTTTTGTATGTCAAATAACAAAAATTTATTTAAAAGACTGTTTAAGTAGACTGTTTAAGTAGTAGTTTTATTTGATGAAAATCTACAGTTTACTTGCAGGAAAACACATAGGTGCACGAGAGTTTTTAGAAAGTGTCTTAAACTTACATTTCGTGTCTCCAATTGTAGCGTTGGGGAAGAAGATAAGTTTATATTATTATATGTCATTCGTGTATCACGTAATATCGAGGAAGTTAACTCAACGCGATAATGACGAACACGGAACGGCAGATTCGCAGTAAAAGTACCTACCTTGTGAGAGCATAGTGATTACTTTTAGACAGACATACTCCTCCATCCGTAGCCTCACTCGCCTGAACATTAGCGTGACATATGTGATTTTTTCCACCATGAGCCCTACGTCTTGCCGCAATTGGTCCATGGTTATCGGCCGACCCATCATGCTGGTTAGGCACGTTTGCAACGTATACATGTTGTTCGTTACCTAATTGCGAAGATTGTATTAAACCACCAAATTCACATTCGTCTTGCTTATAAACTTGTAAGAAAAAACATTGTCAAAAGTATATGTAAAGTTGATATCAATAGAAATTGACAAGGCTATTTATAATTATATTATGTAGGTAAATTGACGATACTAAAAATATTTCATCGTCGAAAACATCATATTATTCGGATTATATTATTTAATAAAATATTCATGCAGAAACAATAAAAAAAAAAAATTTTGTATAAAATCATAATTTTTTAAAATTTGCTTAGAAATGTGTTTATGTGTTTATAAATTATTGCAAAACGCATAATTACTTCTTGCATAAAATCTGCACCCGTTCCATCAGTACCGACATTTGTTAACCTATGCTGACCGTGCATCGCTTGGTAGGCAGAAGTGGTCAACACAAGAAGTTCATGCCACTTGTGGGTGAGCAGCCTTGTATGAACTTCGACCGGCAGTTCAAGGTAAAACGGTAACCTTTTGGTCCACTGCACCAACTTGTACACTATGCTGTCTCCTATCTGACACAGCTTCTCACTTAAGTCTGAATTATGGTCCAGCAGCTCGTCCAAATTCTGTAACGCGAACGCATGTACAATCTCGAAGCGCGACGATTTGTTTGAAGTTTAATTGTTGTATACTTTTTTAATTAAACGGTATTTTACTAAAACGAACCAATTTAGTGTCAATATTCTAGTTATTTGAAAAAACAACACAAATATATTAATTAGTTAAATAATATTTATTAATATATTTATTGAATTGTTGCTTATTATATATCTGAGAATATATATATTCCTTTTTAGAAACAAATATTAACGTTTATATTAATATTTATATTATTAACTTAAAATTGAAAAATTCTCTCTTGTTATTAAAAGGATATATGTGATAAGTGTGTGCACATACCCTTAAAGTGGCGATATCTTGGAACTCGTCACAGTCTATAAGGGTTTGAATCATAGTTAAAGTTGCGTCCAGAGGAAATACTCGGTCCCTCGAACTGCTTACTGCGTTGTCTAGCCTTTGCCGTAAATGCACCACCTTAAACATACATCATTAATACATAAAATCTATTCATGTAATTGACATAATGCATTTTTGTTATGCATTTATTTTTTGTATTTTTGCATTTGTTATTGCTGCTTAAACTAATTCTCTTAGAGGTTGTATTATATATTAACATTGCTCATTGCTATCTGGGCCACTTTCATGGGTTATATTATATTACATCGAATTTTCAATCTCGTGACCTTGAAGCTTTTTCACGACGCGAAAAAATAATTTCGAGGAAGTTTATACGTTAATTACAATTCCGCCAGCATTTCCTTTCGTTGTGCGCGCAATCCGAGTTCGGTGGCCGCGCGTCCAACCGGTAGACTTCAGCCTTTCACTGACCTTTCGGACCTCGAAACACTTCCTCGGGGTCGGGTACGAAGTGCACGGGAGCGAGATAGAAAGAGAAAGGGAAAAAGAAAAAGAAGAGGAGAGAGAGAGAGCCCCATCAAGTCGATTTCAGTCTGTCTTCGGGGAAAGCTGGTCGCTTCGTCGGATAAGATCCATGTATAAGTGACTATCTCATGGAGAACCGTGGGACGCGTTCGCAGTTGAAGGCGTCCGACATGAGGAAGGGACGAGAGTTTCGCGGAGGAGACAAGGGAGGAGATATACAGGAGGTGTTGGAGGAGAGGAAGCGCGAGAAGGAGAGAAAGAGAGGGTGAGGTCACTGTCCCCCGTGCAGACTTTCACGAGTTACGAAACTGCCAGAGAACTGCCCGTCCTTGGCACCGGCTGCCGCTGATTTTCTATTGTCCCTGCTTGCGTCGCCGGTGTTGTCGTTCGCTACGACGTTTTTCACGCAGCGACGATGACGAAGAATCACTAACTTAGGTACTTCATTACGATAAAAGAATATCGTTTTAATATCTAGATATCAATGAGGCTGATATGACCGATGCAGCATAATATGCAAAATATATTACGCATAAATTATATTTTTAGTTTCGATAATTTTAATAACAATGAGTAGCAAAACTGAAACAAAACATATTTGTGAAAGAAATAAGCATATACATTATTTATAGTCGTATAAAAAATTCCTCATATATCATCTAATAATCCCAATTTTTATAATAAATTGTCTATTGATAATATTTGTTCTTTCAGTATTTAAGTTATTCACATATTAAAATTAATGATATTCTTTATAAAAACATATTATTTGGAATATTTATAAATATAAATTTAAATAGAAATAAATTTCATAGAGAGTTTAACTTCAAAATTTGTCTTTTATGATAAAGATTAATCTTTACTCGATATATCATATTCGAATTAATTAATTAATCGAGTATTTTTTTCGATTTTACTTTCGAGATTAAACATCCAATTTTCTTAAAGAAAGTGATTCCGTTGACTTTGTGATTTTTTATCTTTCACGAAATTCTTTCTTCGAAGATATGAATTGTCTCGTTGTGCATCTCACGTCCGATGACTCGGCCACGGCTGGAAAGTGACCTCTTTAATGGAGCACAGCCATGGTCAATATTTATCCGGTTTTAACGGCATCGGTTTCACTTTTGGCAATGGCCTCTACCGGGCCATTTGAGCAAATCCCTCATCTGATCGGACGTAACACACATATTTTTCGATTATTCCCGCCATTATATCGTCCCATTTGAGAAAATTGAAATGCAATCGAATTACATTTTTAGAATGTTGATTGAAAAAAATTATTTAATATTTTGGAGGTTCCGTTTATTCGCGCATATGCGAATATTCATCATAAAAGATCCGCTCATATCTGTCTGTGCACAATTATACGATATAAGAAAACATTGCTTTGTAAGGATATATAATTTTGCAAGTTATATAAGGATCTCTTATTATACAAGGAGTGCAGATGAATACAAAAAGTGCGACGACGCTCGGTCGATTCTCGCATGCTATTCGCTCGTTCTATCTATCGGCTTTCGTAATGTGGGAAACCTTGAGGCTTGCGCAAGTCGAGTCGTAAGAAAGTGAAATTGCGACGGGGAGTTCATTCATTCCAGGATCGGTGCGAAGGAAACCGGATCGACGCACGCTGAATTTACTATTTGTCTACAGTTTCATTGTTTTGCTCGATAATTTGCAAAAAATGTGAATATTTTTACGCAAACTAAAAACAAATGACTGGATATATTGATAGATAGTCATACAATTAAATTTATATCTTTGTGATTATAATACAATTACATTTAAAATAAAATACGTATAAATGATGTGTTATAAACATTTCCTATTCACGTATTTACTTTTTTTCCAATATCAGATTACATGTTTTTTTAGCAGGCAAATAAATATTTAATGTTGTTGAAATTGTTTTTCCCTCTCGATAATGATAAATCTCCTTTTTCTCTTAGAAGTTATCGTTTCAATTTATAAATGATATCTGTGTGATGTTAATTACTCGTTTTCTGGTTCATTGCTAAAAGATAATGCAAGATCAATTAATAAGTATCGCGCATAATCAATTATTGTTCTGTTTTGAAAGCTTTGTTTTGTTATATCGAGAACGAAGTGCAGCGCACATTCCGTGATGATTAATCCAAAATTCTTATGCGATCGTAACAGATCACCGTCATAGATTCGCAGATGTCGATGATGCAATTCTGACTTCATCGAAGTGGTTCGATCTCTATTTTCCCAGGTAAGGATATCGGTATTGAACGCGAATTACAAGTATCAATCGAAGGCGCATACTACGTATTTGCCTCACATTTAGTTTATTATTACGAATAGAGTAAATCTAGAAATTTCACACAAACAAATTTCCAATATAAATAACCAGTAAAATTAATTTTTGAGCAAACACTATTAAAACGTTAGTTTGTATTAGTCGTAAAAAATCTCGAACACTGAATATTGAGAAATTATGAAAAAGAGATGATATTCAGTAAAGTTTTTTTTTTTTGCTTAATCAAGTTTATTGCTCAAAAAATATAATCAAAGTGTATAGGAAGTGTATAGGAGATTTAATATGTTATTGGATCGTTGGAATGAATGATCGTCATTCGCGAAGATTTCGCGATCTCGCGTCGCGTTGCCGTGTGCAGCTGCTTCGAAAGTGAAAGCGAAGATGCCTGCGGGACATTCTCATCCCAGAGCACCGGATTCCCCCGTCGGCGGCCGAAGAGTCAACTTTTGTTGATCCGCGCTCGATTTCTAACCAGGACTATGCCATATAAATCACGTAAATTGCAAGCAAGCGGGATCTTTCGATCGCGAAGACGCACGCGGACATTAATTTGTATGCGATCTCGTTGATCGCACGAGCAAGAATAGACGAGGAATAACATCCTCGCGCCTCTCGTACGGATTAACGGCGAACTTCCAGGTCGCATAATCGCGCGATTTGATCGGGCCGAGGCTTTTAGAAAGTTTTCGTGGATATCTCATGCACGCATCACCGGCGAGTAAGATACATAAATCTCAGCGGGCGAGATTAATTTGCATTATGCCGCTGATGACATTTGCCTTGCGTAACGCTCGAATAATTAGGGGAAATAAGTAAAAGCTGTAATGGGCGCGCGCGATGCACTCTGTCATAATGAAATTAGTTCCCTTACAATTCCGTCTCGCGAGACACACGCGGAAGCAGACGAGATGAATCGCGCGATCTACTTTGATGCTCTCGCTCTCTCTCAGTTTCGGTCGTTCACGATAAACCGAGATAAATGTACCGAACAAATTAATTTTTATTCGAGTATATTATAAGAGGATTAATATTCTATGACAACTCGTGAAAAATTACTAAACATTTGTAATCTTGAATTTAAGGATAGATTTTTTGTTCTGAAGCTGAATCGATGATTCATTGATTCTTGAAATATCATATAAATACCAATAGTAAAAACTCAAATGAATTAAACGTTATCTTAAAACTTCAAATTTTATAATGTTCCTGAATATACCTTTAGGATTAAGAGCACCTATTGTAAAGATTCTTTAAAATTTTTACGAAGACAAAGCTGAATAGATTTGAGATGCAATTCTTCTTTTGGTTCCGACAATCCCGGGGACGGGATATTCTTCATCATCAAGAGAGATTATGCATCAAAAATAGAGTAGTACTTTAAAGTACCACTTTAAAGAATCTTAAAATTTTAATTTACTTGAAAAATGACAAAGAAAGCACACTCACTTCGGAGGGATTGGTGAGTGCCGTCTTCAGGATCGTCCCGTTGACGAGGTGGCCCGAATGCGCAGGATGGCTCGGGTGGCTAGGGGTGGGCGGCGACGAGAGCGGATCGCCCGACGAGATTTTGTGATGATGAAGAAAACTGCCGGCTAACTGGGAGTGCTGCTGCTGCTGCTGTTGGCTGTGATGAGCGGCTGCAGCCGCGGCCATGTGTTTGTCCAGCATCGTCGTGCCCATGGCACCCTTGGTGCCACCGAGGGTCCCCGAGCCGTTTACGCCACCGACATTACTGCCGCCACTCATGCCGCCGCCGACACTGCCCGTCTTGTTGCTCTTCTTATGCTTCTTGTACTTCACCTGCGGCCAATCGACAAATAATCTTTTCTAATGATCAATTAGAACCGATCGATCAAATTAAATGTTCCTTGCGACAATCCAAATGCGACAATATTTGAAAAATATGTGTGTGAAAGATATTATTCTACTATCTTATTGCGTTCTTGTTGTTGAAATATAAATTCGGTGCATACCTTGTAAAGATTGTACACTGCACCAGAATTTCTTCCCCCAGGCATCCGGTCTTCCCGAACTGCCTGTAGGACCATACCCTGTTCGATGCACTTTTTGAACCGGCAGTATTGACACCTGTTCCTCTGCGCCTTTGTGATTTCACAGCCTCCCTCCGCCACGCACGTGTACACCCGCCTATTTTGCACGGTCCTTTTGAAGAAGCCTTTACATCTGCATGCAAATTAATCCAACTTTCGTGACTTATCTATTTATAGTCAGATTTTCATAAAATAATAAGAAATAAATCGTTGACAAATTTCATTTATGAATATATCAATAATAAAAAAATTCACGTCGAAATAGCAAAGTGGAATTTGCAAAGTTGAATAAAAAGCAATAATGAAATAATAAAATTTTTTCTGATTTTAAGTAAAATAATCAAATAGTTTGTTTTCCAATAATTTAAGTTTATAAAATTATTTATTTTATATAATTTCAGAAGAGAAAAAGGATTTATTCTAACTGCATATACTGTCCATGTATCTATATGTAATATACTGTGATATGATTGTAAAGTTGCTTTATCAAATTCATCATTTAACATAGATCTTCAATATTGAACAATTCAATAAAATATACTGATAAAAATAATCAGGGTATTGTTGCATAATTACTCTTTTTAAATGTTATATTTTACGTTTTTGAACATCATTATTTTTATCATAAACATAATTATTATTGAACATCATTATTTTTATCATAACATAAACGTTATAAGTAAAAAAATGATGAAGAAAATAGACTTTTATAGGAAACCTATTACATCAATATCCATTTCTATGTAAATTGACTTCAATCTCGCTTCAATAAGTTACCTTTTATTTCTTTTTTCAATTTTAAGAAGTAAAAAAAGATAAAGTGTAAATTAAATAGAGATTGAAATTAATAGGCATTGGCAAATAAAAATGGAGATAATTTATTGAGTTCCGCATTAAAATCTAAATCCGAGAAAAGTTAATTAAATGAGACAGAAACCTGGCATAATTTAACTCATGTACAAGATAATCATCTCAATATCAATGTTCCCAATAATATTTTAATAAACCGTCGCGTCATCAAGAGGTTCGTCTTACGCCGCGTAAACGTGCGAAGTTAACCGCGAGAACTTGACCGCGGTCACGTGAGTGAATTTCGTAACGGTCGGCCAGTTCGCATCGCGCGTCGCTGCTACGTAGCTGTGTCGCGACTGTTTTGCGTTCTCGCGTCCTTTTGTCCGACGAGTTTAGTGTATAGTGAATATCGATTCAGATGCGTTCCGGTGCATTAATTCGGCTGGCGATGACATGTCGATCGATAATGTTTGTCGCGTCGCACTTTTCGAATGATTTTCATTGATTCTTCGCTCGATAGAATCTATTTCCTGATCGCGCGTCTCGCGTATACCGGCATCAAATCAGTGAACGGCATGAAACGACAACAATGACGTCGAAGAATCGAGAAGACTGTTAGGGATGAATCGAGACAGATTTCGCTTGCGTATAATAGATCTGTTTTTTTTTTAGCTGAACTAATGTATATTTGTTAATATAGATATATATATTCGAAGTTTGATGAAAGTGACGGAAAAAATTTGCGATTCAGTGGAGCAATAAAAAACAGGTCTGATGTCGCATAATGATATCACGACGCTACATATCCGCCATAATTAATGCATCGTTTCTCGGTACATAATTTCACGCCGATCGAGGGGTCATGTACAAATCGAATATTCGGAAAGAAGTGATTATTTTTAATTCGTGTATGTATATATGCTCCGAGTTTTTGGGAGTGCAATTGAAAGTGCTGAAATAACGTTGGAATGTGTATTCGAATGGTTATGATTCGGAATGTGCGAATGCTATCAAGAAACATAAGAATATCATTGCGACGATTAATACGTAAAAAACATCTAGAAATTGGAGGCTGTAACCGATTATTGGAAGCAGATGATTGTTGCACGATGGTGAGTTCGAATTTCTTTTAAATTATTTTTCAGTTTATTAGAATATAAAGTTTTTATATTTCGAATTCATTGCACAACTGGTATAAGCAACACGTAAAAAAATTTTTTTACATTTTTTTATATCAATTTAAGAAACGAAGAAGCTTAACAAGTTAAATTTTTAGACAAAATTCAAAATTGTTTCTTAATGCAAGAAAAATAAAACTTGTCATTTTTATAATTTTCGTAACATACGTGTCGAATTTAAAATGTTCAATACAAAGAGATAAAAAAAAAATTGATATCAAATTATATTTTTGATTCGTGAATATATCAGATTTGTTATCTATTATCTTATGTTTGATAAATATTTTATTCTTTTTTTATGCTATTGCATTAATACATACACTATTGATAAAAAAATTTATTATTTCTTAATTCAAATCTCAAATAATATTTTAATGAAAAGAATACGATATAAAATAAATTTATAACTTAATATCTGAATCACATAATTAGTTAAGTTGACTAGTTAATTCAATAAATCGGTAAATTAAAAAAGATGCATAATATACATTCAGATAAATATTTAATTATTCAACTAAAAGTTATATTTAAAAAAAATCAGAAATAAATAAAATTTATATTAGCAAAAATATAAATTAAATTTAAATAATAATAATTTTATAAATAAAATATATATATATATATATATAATAAATTAATTTAATTTGAATAAAATT